AACTCTTCTTTATTCGAATATGGTTACACACTGGGGAGGGAAACAAGTATTTATTATACTGTTTTGTTGCATTTTGCTACAACTTGTACATTTCTCATAATAAATACATTTACTTAGAAAGGAAATTATTTCAGTAATATAAAAGGAAAGCCAGAATCACTGGTCTTAAAATAGAAAGTAATGACAAAAATCAGTACAATGGCCTCCTGCTTTTAGTCATGACATACTAGTTTGCTTCAGACCAACCCTTTTGCCAAGAACAACTTAGAAATCTGGATAAAATATATAAAATGTAAAGATAAAAACAAAGAACTTCTGTTTGAAGACATTGGGGAGATACTAAGGCAGCGAGGACCTGAAGAGCCAAGAGACAAGGAAAGAACACTGAAATAAGTCCAGTATTTAAAGCAGTTTCCCTCCAGGCGTTTGCTGATTTGTCAATTTCATAAGACCCAGAAGCTCAAAAGTCAACAGTCAGTCTCATGATAAAAATTGATGCTTGGGGTCCACCAAAGAGAAGGTAAACACTGCAGACTTCCAGTTTGAACCATGAAAGGGCTACACATTAGAAGTGAGTAAAGAAAATTAGCTCAACCGTCACAAAGACTAAAACCCAATTTCTAGCCAGTTCAAACCCAGATGAAACAAGATGATCTACCAGTACTAGAAATGCCTTACTGAAGCAAAAGAAAATGCAATTTCTTGGAAGAAGATAACATAATCCAGAGCTTCAATTTGACTTTATAATTTGTCATAGATTATGTTTACCAAAATTTACCAGGCATACCAGGGGATGTAAATAAAATACCAGAAACAAAGAAAAATATCAGATCCATATGTGAGTAAAATATCAGAGTTATCAGATACTGACTTCAAACTATCCATGATTAATAAGTTCAAGAAAATAGATGACAAGACGGAGAGTTTCAAGAGAACTAGAATCTTTGTAAAATGAAAAATGGAACTCTAGACTTGAAAGATACAGTGACCAAAAATAAGAATTCAACAGATGGGGTTTATGGCAGATTAGATAATGCAGAAAAGAGAATTTGTAAACTGGAATATATGACAGCAGAAAATATTCAGACTGAGAATGAAAAGAAAAAAATGTATAGTTAATGCACAAAAGCTATAAGACTTGGTGAAAATTTTTAGCATGTATGTATTTGAAAATCCTAAAAGAGAAATGAGAATATTGAGCAGCCGTGATACTTGACTAGATACTAGCTGAAATTTTTCCCAAGCTTGCCAAAACATCAAGCTAAAGATTTTTAAATCTTTACATTTCAAACAGGATAAAGAAAACCACAACTAGGCACATCGTAGGAAAACTACTTACAGACAAAGACAAAAAAATCTTGAAATCAGCCAAAGAAAAGAAACATATTACCTCCAAAAGAACAACAGTGAGGGAAGCTTACTTTTCAACAAAAGTGATGGAAGCCAAGGAACAATGAGATGACATCTTCAATGTGCTGAAAGCAAAGAATTGTCAACTTAGAACTCTAAGCTTATTGAAAACATCCTTCGAAATGTACATGAAATGAAGACATTTTCAAACAAATAAAACTTGAGAGAATTCATATTCAACAGAAATGCACGAAAAGAAATACTGCAGAAAATTCTTCAGGGCAGAAGAAAATGAGATCAAATGAAAGCATGGAAATGTAGAAAAGAATGAAAACAATAGGAAGTACCAATATGTGGATAAAACCAAATAAATATTAACTGCATAAAATAATAATAATAAACGTATTGTGCTATGTAAACTATATGTAGAACTAAAATAAGTACAGTGACACAAGAATGTGGAGGCTAATAGCCAAGATATGAAAACAACCTAAGTGTCTATCGATGGATGAATGGACAAAGAAAATGTGGCATATATTTACAATGAAATACCATTCAGTCTTAAAAAGAAAAAAAAGTCTTCCCATTTGCAACAATGTGGATAGACCTTGAGGACATAGTACTAAAATAAGTCACAGAAAGGAAACTCTGAAATGTAATATGACACAAAAGAGGTCAAACATAGGAGAATTTATACTGAATAATTTCAGTTACACAGATCTTTTAATTGGCAAAGCTTATCTAAGGTATTAGAAATCAAGATAGTGGTCTCCTTTGTTGGGGGTTGGGTGGGAGAGAGGCAGAGATGGGGACTTCTGAGATACTTTTGCTACTTTATGTCTTAATCTAAGCAGTGATTCCATGTGTGTGCTCATTTTTTGAAAAGAATCATCCAGCTGTATACTTAAGAGTGCTTTTCTGCATGCATGTACACGTCAGTAGATACTTTTTAAAATTAAACACACAAGAGAGTATCTGCAATTATCCTAATGCTTTTAGGAATTACTTGCGTCAAATGTTAGAGTCATCTGGTGTCCTATACTAATGTGAGTCCAAAAAATACATAAATATGAGTCCACAAATAAATATGCTTTGGGGAAAAATAAATACACTTAATGGATTAAAAGCCATGGTATTAAATTCTAGTGAGAGTCTGTTGCCTGCTATATCTCTGAGCCCAAGGCCTGATCTCTCTTAGTTAAAAAGAGGTGTTTGAGAAGCACTTGAGATTTACTGCCAAGCTGAGGTTGCTCCTTGGTATACAATGGAAATAGGATTGAGAAGGAAACTGCTTTCTCCAAATGTGCTATGGTGATATCCATTACTATGTACCATCTGAAATCCCTTGGCTGAGCACCAGGGACCTCCTGACACCATGCGACACACTGGCTTATTTGATCTCAAAATTGCCTCCAAGCTGACCATCTGTGACTTGCTGATAGAAGGCTGCATGTTCAATAAAAGCTACAAACAGTACTAAACTTGGAAATGGTTTCAGAAAGGAAGATTGAGTCAGTCCGTTGGTTACAGGGTTCGTGAAAATGGGTAAGCATCTGTCTCTATGCCACCCGCCTCCGCATATAACAGCAACCTGGAAAGGAGGGAGCACCATTCCAAGGGGCTTCCTTCTCCTGCCCCACATCTGAGCCACCAGCAGAGCCTTCAGCTCGACTTTCAAAGTTTATCTGGAATCCAGACGCTTCTCATCATCTTCCAAGTCACCATCATCCCTCACCTGCTGGCCTCCTAACTGCTCTCTCATACTTTCACCTTTATCCTCCTTCAGTTTGTTAACAGAGCGGCCAGAGTGATTCCGTCAAACTCCAAGTCAAACCTTAGCCCTCCTCTGCTCAAAACCCTCCCATCTCATGCAGAGCCAAAACCAGTATCTTTGCCACGGCCCACAGGGCCCTCCATGACCTGATGGTGGCGCATTACCTCCCTGACATCACCTCCTCCTGGGCTTCCCAGGCTCACTCTGACCCAGCCACAGGTCCTCATCAATGATTTTCAGCCGTGCTATACATGCTCCCACCTCAGGGCCTTGGCCTCTGTCTGGGACACTCTGCATTACATAGCCCCTGGCTCACTGCCTCACCCACTTCACTTTATTAGTGAATCCCCCTCTCACTCCCTGACGTGAAATTGCATTCCCCTTCCATACAACCAGTCCCTGGTCCCTGCTTTCGTTTTGCTTAATATTCTTCACCATCTAATATCCTCTGCATTTATCTACTTATCTTGTTTAGTGAGTTTGTTGCCTCTCTTTTTATACCAGGAGATTTTTCAATAAGGAAAGCAGACTTCAGGACTTCAAATTCAGGAGAAAATTAGACACAAACTTGAAAAGACTCTAAACACCCTTTTAGTTTTAGAGTGGGAACTGCACATTGGTCGAGGTCCACTAGGTTACAAAACTCCTTTTCTTTCTCTTATTGGGCTGATAAGGCCAAAAAGATAGTCAAGCTGCTGATGGGAAGCTGCTGTTTCTCCTTCAAGCCATGACATTCTGTCCAGTTCCTCCCTTCCAGTTCCAGAGGGCTCACTGATATACTGGGGGAGAAACCTGCAGTCTGTTACTTCCTTGGGAGGGAGGAGAGTACAGTTGTTCACTCAGCAAATACTTATCAATTGCTATTTTTGTGCCAGACAATGAGCCTACGTGCCAAGAACATACACGGATCCTGCAGAGCTTTGCTAAACTAAAACCTAGGTGACGAAACTACTTCTTGTGACCACACGGCCTTCACAAAGGGAACAATGTGGTCCCCCAACTTCAGGGTCGAAAGGAGGATGGTTTTATATTTTAAACATGGTTTCTGGTCTTAAGAAACTTTATTCTGCATTTCATAAAAATTTTAAGTGGGCAAAATACAGTACATCAAAAGTGATTAAGAAACTAAGCTTTTGAGCCAGACAGATTTGGAATTTAACTCTGGCAATGTTTGACCTCGGGCAAGTTACCTGGAGAATTGAGCTGCCCATCAGTGCCTGCCCCAGACATGCTGGAAAAATTCAAAGAGCATAGGGTTTCATCCATACAAAATGTTTAATTTTTGTAAGCTATTGTTTGTTTCATTATTATTTTGCTATTAATTTAAATGATACCTAGAAAATAGCATTAGCTAAATGTTTAGAGTTTCAAGTCTAACCATAATTATATTCAAGAGGTCTCCACAATCGTTGCTACTTTCAATCAGTTACAGAAGACCTCTCAAGTTATTAAAAAAAAAACTTGCCTATAATTTTTTCAGAAATTCAGATGCAGTATTGCTTTCTCCCACAGGATTTACCTACAGGAATTAAAGCATCAGCAGGGTCCGGAGCACAAGGAAATGAATGCATTCCAACGTATGACGGCAAGAAGCCCAGCACCACAAGGAGAGTGATTCAGATGCCGTGACCGAACTAGTAGAACCTGCTTTTAATGGTCAGAAGATGCTCGTTTCCTGAGGCTTGGTTAGTACAAATACTGAGCAGTCCTTTCTTCCATGCATAAAAATGGAAATGTAAAGGTTAGAATGCTATGGTTAAGAGTGGTTTTAAACAATATTTTATGGCATCTGAAAGCAACCCTTTTATCTTTTACATCTTCACTTTTTATCGTCTGGGCTTTTATGAGCTGTGTGCTTGAACTAGACCCAAATCCTGGGTGCCACACTCAAAATCATATGGTACATCTGTTTCTCTGAGGACGTGGTGGGATTCTGCATATCAAAATCTTCCTCCTACCACACACTCACATACGGTGGAAAGAATGGAAAATATTGCATCCATGCCCTCTCTCAAAAAGAGCAGTTCTGTTCACATTCCATGGGGTCAGGGCACACGGTACAGCCAGAGTCACCAGGAGGACCCTTGACATCATGTGTACTGTCCCGAGCCTTCTGGACAGGCACTCATTTCCCCGAGGAATCTTCCAAAGTGGTGAGCAGTGCCAGCAACGTCTCCATAGCACCTTGTGTGGCGCTTGAACTTGGCTGGCGTTCTCTGGGCAAGAGGAAATGCCCAATCATCATTTCAAAAATCAAGCAAATGCCTGTTAGCCTTTTTGGAAATGTGGGATGAATTTTTAAATAAAAACATTAATTATTTTAAATTACTAGAAAGCCAAAGGAGACGAGTGTGTTGTACCAAGAACTGTAGTGACAGGAGTCCTGATGTTGTTTGTGGAACTGAGTGAACTTCGTCTGGCCAGTATTCTCTTCCAGAAGGAATTTGGATTTATAAAAATCAAGTGCCAAAAGTTACCTGAGAGCCACCCACTGTGTCTTGAGCCTGCATGTTTCAGCAATGCTATGCAGAATTCACCCAAACCATACCATAATGGCTAAGGGCAATTCCAGACCCGAGAAGTTGGGGAACAGAAGTTAGGATTAACACTCTAAACAATAAGGGGCCATTGATGTTTTTGAGCAGATTGGTTCCTGGAGTTCATCGGGCCCCGGCTGCTCCTGCCCCTTTTCACCTTGCTGAGAGCACTGCCCTCACATGTGATCAGCGAGCACGCCCTGCCGCCAGGTTCAACCACTGACCCTGAATTGGCCAATCGTGCAGCCCAGGAAAGACCTGTGGGACGTTTTTAGGTTCCCCTGTTCTCATGCCCTTCAGACGCCCTGTTGCTTCCCTCTGCTTCTGCTGCATAGACGCTGATTCCGGGTGAGTCTTGTGGTTCTTGACGGTTTGTCCTTACTCCTGCCATTTGGGAGTTTGTAGAAATGCCTTGGTTCAGGGGGAGGCAGTTGAGATGTTTGGTAAATCTTGACCACTGGTTTTAGGCCTTGCTACCCAGCTGTCCTTTTTGTACATAGAAATTTGGAGACATTAAAAATGATGCCACTTTCCCAGAACCTAGACTTGGGTTTGGTTTTGTTTTTTGGTGGAAATCAAGGAAATGGGTGAGCCCCACACCTGGTTTCACCTAGAGCATAATGAGGCACTGAGAAAAGGCAGGATAGTGAGACAATACATTTAGAAAATAAATTCAAAAGAAGAAGGGGCTTAGGTCTAGAGGTGACCTTGAGAAAGATAGCCCCTGGGAAAGAACCAAGGTGTCTGAGAGAGCTTTGGGCTTTCTCAGAAGGTGCACAGGGAGCTGTCATCTGGTCTAGTGCAGTCAGGGGCTCTTGGGTCACAGTGACTGTCTCTTTGGTGATGAGTGGCAGGGAGGCCTCTTCTTGCCAGAGTATCCCCTTGGGATGTCCCAGAATCTCCAGGTGAGATTTCAGGCCCAGCCCTGATGACCACTTCAGGGGGAGGAGGCCAAGGCATGAAGACCAATGTTATGTGAATAGCCATGAAGAAATGGAAATTGAAAAGGATCGTTCTTACTCCTTGTGGAATGAATCCACCAGACGAACATGGCTCTGTTGGTAGGACTTACCTGGGATGGAGTCCTCGTATGGGGAAGTAGGGAGGTGGTTACTGACTTGTCACGGGAGGAAGTGTGCTCCCCACTCAGGGAAAGTCCTAGCCTAGCATATGAGATAAACGCGGAGCACCCTGGTTCCTCCCCTGGAATCCCAGGCTGTGGAATGAAGCACGGGTGCCTCAAATCCTCTGTGGCTGTCTGTGACAAAAGCCTTTCCAGGACATGAAACAAATTCCTCTCTTTCCCTCGTTCATAAGGCAAAGTCCAGGGAAATTTTCAAAACCTGGCAACGTGAGAGAAACCCTAAACTCTCACACAAGCTGTGTGAGAGACCCTCCCTTGACAGAGTCTATGAGACAGAAAGGCAAGGGCCTGGTCGTAAAATAACACAGAGGGAGCAGGGCTCTGGCCTCCATGCAGGCCACACGCACAGCCCAAGAGAGGGACTCACAGTTCCTGCATATGTGGCCTAATGCTGGGTGAGGAGCCACATTTGAGGCAAAACAGCAGTAGGTCAGAGGACTTTTTCAGCCATGAGCCTCACCCTAGATACCTTCCAGACTGCATCCAGGGTTGGTCCTGGAAAAATCATGCAGTTAAAGTACCATTGGGTTGTTCCTCATTTTACCCCATTCAAGGCCTCTCCCCTCAGTGATGTCCCTACCGTGTTGACTTTAGGAGCCCACTGACCTTGAGCCTTAAGGGGATAGCAGAGCACAAACTTTGAAACCAGGGCCTTTGGACATGTTTCTTGACCTCTCTGAGCCTTAGTTTCCTCATCCATAAAATGAGCAGGATCATTTATCATTGCTACAAGCACAACAAGACATACCCATATGCAAGAAGGCCATGCAGACCATGCAGTCTTGTTGATACAAGACACTCCCAGCTTTTGCATGTTGCCCTGGCAATCCATCCATCCAACTAGCACCTCCTTTCACTCTCAAAAGCATCCCAGTTTGGAGGGTAAATTCTATGATCACCCCATAAATACAGCTCCTAACACAAAACCTAGCAAAGAACAGGCCATGGGCCATTTCCAGCCCTTTCCTACTCAATGTGCTTTCAGAACCTCGGTCACATTGAAATATAAATGTTTGACAATATTTAAATATTAGCCATGCCAGAAGTCTTAAACTAAAAAGATGTATCTCTTGTGGCAGAATCTCAGTGACCAGTTTGTGAAGAAGATACTGGGGGAGGAGAGGTGCTGGGGACCATGGCACCTCCCATGCATAAGACTGACCCCCAGTGGCCATTCTGAGCTTTGTGACTGTTCTTAAGCCTTAACTGTTACCCCCAACCCCATTACCAAAAAATTCCAGCCTAGATGGCTCAACATCATCAGGAGGTAGGGGTCTGAGCCTAACAGTGATGCCTCCCAGGCAAGCCTCCATCCTCAGGGGGCTCAAAGTCTGCTCTCTACACAGGGATTGCTGATTCTCCGGACACCCTTGGTGCCTGAAGAGGACAGAATGCACAACAACCCGAAAGCCACCAGGAAATGGATGACCAACGCTGGAGACAAGGGATTATTTGAGGTGAGTGACACTGTGGGAAAACCAAGCCTTATAAAGCAAACATAACACAGTTTTAAATACTCAGTTAACAATTTACTCCACAGCTATTTAGTTCAGTCATTAAACAAACTTATGAACGTCTACTATGTACCAGGGCCCTGGAGGCATGATGGTCCCCAACTGGTCAGCAAGATGGCCCAGGGTCATAAGGACAGGGCGGGCAGGAGAGGGAGGTGTCATATGTGGAGACCAGAATGAAATTCCCTGAACAGTGGCAGCCAATTTTAAAACTCCCACACTCAGACTCTACTTTTTTCATTAAAAGAATGAATGTTATAGTGTCCAAATAATATATGTTCATTATTAAATAACTGAAAAACATAGATAAATTAAAAGAAGTGAAATGCTGATCTTAACACCACCAGGTAAATACAACCACTATTAATTTTTTGGCATTTTTCCTGTCAACACTTGTTTTTCTATCCTTAGTTATCTTTGTTCCTTCCTTTTGTAAATACTTATGACCCCACAGAAGATTAAAATTTTAAGTATTTATTTCTTCTGATTACAAAAGTACATGGATTTATTGCAAAAAAAGGTGAGAAACATTCCAAATCCAAAGGATAGACTAAAAACCATTCACCACTTGCCAACCACAGATAACTACTAATGATGTTTTGAAATGAATTTGACCAGATTATAGCTTAAAACTATAAACACACATTAAAACAATAGAGTGTAAAATGTGAATTTTACATTTTAAACATGGCTCTTACAGTGAATAAATGATTTATGAATTGAAAAACTATAAACACCATTTTGCTGCTAGGAGTGGTTGTTATTGGACTGCAGGAATCTGAGAAAATAATGTCCCTAATCCTTTGGTGCTTGATTTACTCACTAATGGATTATTTAAAGGCTACCATTAATGGGATTTCTTCTACAAACATGATGTCTAAGGTTTATATAGCATACTATCAATAGATATAAAGTTATTTCATCCTCTGGGTGGACATTGATGTTTTGTTTTTATCTTTGTTTTTTATTTGTTTATACTTTGCAGTGTGTTCATTTAATAATTGTTTGCCAAATGTCATCTATGTGCCAGAAACTGTTCTGGAGGCTCATGATACTAGGAACAAGATAGACAAACTTTAAACAGATTTCTCTATGTACATCTTAGATTATTTCCTTAGATCCATTTCTAGAAGTAGAGACATTGGACTAAAGGGTCAAACAGATGTTAATTTGTGCTCCCACAAGTGCCATATAGAAGTGCCTTTTCCTCTCACAAATAATGACTTTCTAACAGTCTTTGAGTTTAGAAGAAGGACAACAATTTGTAGGAAGCCGAAAAGTGAAGTTGTAGGAGGCATATGCCACTTAAAATTTACCAGGAATAAAGAAACTCCATATTAATCACAAAGTAATAAAACAGAAGACACGGCTAAGCACCCAACTCTAGAACCAGACTGACCGTGTTTTAATCCTGGTTCTGCCACCCACTAGAGAGTGGCTTTGGGAAAGTTATTCATCCTCTCTGTGCCTTGGTTTCCTCATCTGTCAAATGGGAATAATAAAACTACCAACCTCAAAGGGCTGTCATAGTGACTAGGTGAGTTAAAAACACCTAAAGCACTTTCCTGCCTTTATTGAGTACCCATGTGAATTTTTAAAAAATAAAGTCTAATTTCTATAACTTTCTGGATAGCAGAGTAAACCTAATTTGCCACTTTCTAAAGTAGATTTTAACTTGTTGATCCAGAAAAATTGTAAAGGAATGCCCCAAGTTAGTTTTGAGCTCTAATGGAACTCGAGTTGTCATCTCCCTTCCATCACGTTCTGCATAGCTCAGTTCTTCACATAGGTGCCAAGGCAGCATCCAGTCCTCCTTGGTCCCAGGACCGTGGAACATTCTCTATCTCCTCAGTCTGAGCATGACCATCTCCCCACTGATGCCAAGAAACACAGCGCTCCATGGAGAATTCCCTGCTTGGAGCTCTTATTCTAAAGAAATGCTCAAAATTCAAGAGTCTAAAGCTCTCAGTGCCACTGGCTTGCAGAAAAAGTGTCAAAATCTGGAAAGACGTGGCATTTTGAGTTATGGGACAAACTACCCAAAGAAGGCAGATTCGGACAGGAGTTAAAGCTGTGAATTCTGACGTCCATTCACTGGTGATTAATGACATCAGGGAAAAACAAGCCAGCAGGCACCGATGTTAAGAGAGAAAGCTATTTTAAACATCCCCCATTCTAATTAAATATTTCTTCTTATAACACTTGGAACCTAAAAATAGGTTTGATCTGTCCATTGGGGGCCACTTCAAGTTGACAGAAGTTTAATTAGATTGCCTCAAGCAGGAATGTTATTCTCCAAGGTTTTTGATAGTGGCGTTAACTCCAGGACTGAAGTCTAGCTTACATGTGTATGTGGTGCTGGTAAAATAGAGGACAGTATTTTCTACCAAGTCTTGACCCCAGAGGAGGCTGGAAGAAAGGCACATTTACACTTTAAAAGTCCAGAAGTGGGTGATCGTAAATACATTTAACCCTTGAACATAGAAAGTATTTCATATGCTTAGGCTCCAATTCAGTAAGGAAGTAACAACAGTGTCCCTGGCATGGACACTTGATGGAACAGAAACACAGCATACACCCCTCCCCCAAGGCATCATTGGGACTGAATTCATATCAGTTCAGTCAACCAGCTGTTAGGTGATTGGTTACCCTACTGGACATTTGGCAACCTAGACTGTAGATAGACTTAAGTGACACTGCTAATGAGCATGGAGAAGGTCTTCAATGTCTGGCTGCTCAGAACACTCTCACGTCCTTGGTATCCATCTCTGTATTCGCTTTGTTATCCACTATTCAGTCAGTTCTTACCACGCTCACAGATGTTGTCTTTATGTTTCTGTTTCTGCCTTCAGTAACATGTTTAGAGACATTCATATCCCCCAAATTTTATGGTTTAAATGTTTATCTGCCTTTTCTCCTTGTTTAAATCTTTAACTCATTCAGGATTTTAATATGAGGTTATTTTTATAGTTATAGTTATAGTTATAGTTATTTTTTTCCCAGTGCAACCAACTCTGTGAGTTTTCTTTAAACTTTCCAAATGTTTCTACTGGTGTCCAGAGACACAGCCCAAACGGGGCCTTGTTTGGCCATCCAAAGCATCAAATGACCGCCAGTGGGATGACCACAAGGCAATAAACAGGTTCCATCAAAAATTATGGAGGAGAGAGCCAAATATTTTCTCTCGGAGAGTGTTATTAAGGAAAGGATTTATCTCAAAGCTATGGCAGGGGGACAAATGCTATTAGAAAACAAACCAGAGAAATATTTATTCTGAGTCATTGGGCAAGGTGAGAACTAAAAGGTACACATGCTGGGTTGGGTTGAAAGATTGATTCTCATTTTTAAAGATCAAGAATAACTTCCCTCATACAAGCACATAAATATTAATTTATTCAGATGGTAAAACTCCCTGTGCCAGGACAAAATTTCCATGACATTTCCACGGGTTAGAATTCTAACAGCCTGGCTGAGTTCAGAGGATTGTTCACAGGGTTCAATGGCTTCTTGCTTGATTTGGAGGAATCTCTGGGCCTACAAAATACAGATCGTGGATGATCGGCTGTTGTCTAGGCCAGAGGCAGAAGGGTGGACTTGATGGCCAGAGATTCCTGTTGCCAGGTCTTCAGATGCCTGTCTCATGATTGTCCTTCTTTTTCATCCTTGTTCCTTTACTCCTTGTTTTCAGAAACATGATGGTCCCATGTTGAGGTATGTCTACTTCACTCCAGATAAAGCCTGCTCTTCCTTCATTTATTCCCATATATTTAGTGAGCATCTTTTGCGTGCCAAGAACTGTTACACAGCTGGGATACTGTGATGGACAAGACAGACAGGACCCTGGCCTCACGGAGCCTACATTCTAAAACAGAGGTTGGCAAACTAAACCTGCAGGCTAGATCTGTACCACTGCATGTTTCTGTAAGATCCAGGAGCTAAGAATAGTTTTTATAATTTTGAAGATTTTTTTAAATCAAAAGGAGAATATTTCATGACATGTGAAAATTACATAAATTTCAAATCTCAGTGTCGTAGACAAAGTGTTGGAACACAGCCACGTACATTTACTTACACATTGTCTAACTGCGCTCTTTCACCCTAAAATGGCAGAATTGAATCTGTGACAGAAACCGTATGGCCACAGAGCTTAAAATATTTTCTCTCTGGCCCTTTACTGAAAAGGCTTGCTGTTCTAGAAGGCAGACTAAACAGGAAAATAAAATGATTACAGACTAAGCAAGACACGGAGAGGACACCATTGGGGTGAGATGCAGGGGAGGCACTGACAGCCAGGGTCAGGGAAGGCGTCACCAGAAAGATGTGATTTGAATTGAGACCCCAAGGACCCCAAGCTATAAACCATAGCTTGTGAAGGGCCATGAAGAAAGACAATTGCATGCAATAGAAATAGCAAGTACAAAGATCCTGAGGCAGGAAGATTCAGAAAACCAGCCTTTGCTGGGGCAAGTGGGCATGGAAGTGGGGGGGGAGGCTGATGAGATAAGACAGACAGGACCTGTTCACTCTGACCCCACAGGAACAAGACTGGAAGCAGAGGGTGGCTGACTCTTCCAGAGCCTGGGAGAGACGTGAAGATGCTCAGACCAAAGTAGTGGTGTGCAAATGCAGATCCTGGGTAGAGTCAACATATACTTTGGAGGTGAAGCCCACAGAACTTACACAGAACTTAGTGCTGCATTGGATGTGGGGAAAAGGAAAAGTTAGGGTGGGGACTGGATGTCTGTCTTAAACTAGACATTTGGTGATACCATTGCCGGGACAGAGAGGACTGTGAGTTACAGTTTGCACAGGAGTTGGGGGAAAGTAGAGAACTTCCCCTTAAGACGCCCAAGAAAAAAATGTCAAATAGGGAGTTGGATCTAAGAGTCTGGAACTCAGGGGAGAGGGTGGGGATGGAGACAGGAAACCTTAGAAGCCTGCTCTCTGAGACTATGTATTTCGAAAGACTCACCCTGAAGGTAACTACTAGTGAGTCTGCCGCTTCTCTGCCCACAGGCCAGGAGCTGCTCCGGCTTCCAGCACCTCCACCCCTCCAAACCAGAGGGGTGCTCTGTGCACATCCATTTGGCCATCTGACAAACATTTATGAGCGTCTTTTTAGTCCCATTATCTCCCCAAGTCACACACGTCCATCACTGCCTGCTATCCTTTGGAGTGAAGCAAGGTTCCTAGCGGGAGGACCAGTTTTCATTACAAGAGGTCACCACACCTCATAATACAGGACTCATGAAAAATGTTTCCTGCTCAACTTGAAGCAACTGTGGACCTGTGAAAACCCACCTCCTGCTTTCAGCAGGAGTGCTTAGCTTGGAAATGCCAGGGTGGTTAGGTAGACAGGAGGGCTCATGGACTTCTGCGAGCTTTTGGACTTGCTTGAGTCACTGAAAAACTATTAGCAAGGTCACCTCTCAGGCGACACTGGCACCAGCTCTGCATCTCCTTGGCGAGCCCCATCCTATAAATGTGCAAGCATAAAATTACCCAGTTTGTACCCCTAGAGACCCCCTCTGTGTACTTCCAGGCTGTGAGGACCTCCCAAAATCAGTTTTATAGAAGTGTTTACCAGCTCCCAAGGTCCAGGGAAGACCCAAAGGCATTCTGTCCCCAACCCCGACTCCATGGCAGTAAGTGATGACATTTCAAGGACCAGCAAAACCTTAAGGTGACTGTCTTGAGAAAATTCAAGGTTTTGTGCACTGCTGTGGATGCACCATTGGCTCAAATCCCGAAGCTGGGGTTCCTGTACTGCTGTCTCCAACAGTTGGCTGTTTGGGCACAGGCTGTCCCCCCTCTGGGCCTTAGACTCCACAGCTGTAACAGGAGGGACCTTATTCCCTGTGTCAGAGGCAAGTGATGAGTGCGGGCAGTTGCTGTGCTAGGCCCTGGGGATACAGGTTATGGCAGACAGGTACCTGCCCTCAAGGAGACTAGGGTATAAACTGGGTCAGGCACAAGGAAGAGGGCCATGGTCAGCACCTTACGTGCTGTACTTGCGATCAGTGATATGCACATTACACAAAGGACATCATTTCCCTCAGCCGTTCTATGAAGGAGGCTTTACTACCCCCATTTTAACGATGGGGAAACTGAAGTTTAGAGTAAGAGACTCACCCAACAAGGTTGCGTACACAGCAAGTAAGAGACAAAGCCAGGACTCGATCCCAGGCGGGCTGAATTCTGGTGCTCTCACTCTTCAACACTTGAAAGGCCCCTCAGTCAGGTACGGCTTCCAGAGAAGGCTCATCCTGTGATTCCAGTGTCAACTTCCAGCAAGCCCAGGGGTGGAGGCCCCTGGCTGCCTTGTAAGGTCTGCCGCTTTCAGCTTCCCTAGAAGCAGCCCAGAGTGTCCAATATAGGAGGAGCCTCAGAAGCCATCAAGGCAAATTATTTCATTCTTACAGGTGGAGGAGACTGAGGCAGGGAACAGTGAAATGACTTGGTCAAAGTTTCTCCAAGAATGAGCAGGAGAGCCACACCCAGGTCTCAGTGGAAGTCCAACCTCATGGTCACATTCTTCTCCACTGCACATCTCAGGCTTTGTATTATCTTTTAATGGAGGAAACGGGGGCTCAGATGAAGGACCCAGCTTAACCAAGGGCCCCCAGCCAGGAAGTAGTGATGTGAGGACTGGAAACCATTTATTGCTGAAGTAACATGGAAACCACTTGAGAGCATGGGCTTTGGAATCATTGGGAGTTGGATGTGGACCTTCCTGGCTCTGTGACCTTAGGCAGTTGACCTGACACCTACAAATGGGATCAACTGCAGTGGCGCCCTCATCAGGCTATTGCGAGCCTCTGTGAGACCCTGACATACACAGTGGGTTGAGCACGCTGCCTGACACGCAGCAGCCCTTGCAAGTACCTATTGAGGACCTGCTATTCCAGCTGCTTTTAACCTTCTTCATGACCCACTGGGTAGGTCGTACTGTCCCACTTTTCAGATGAGCATATTCTGGGTAAGTCACTCACCCCAGTTGCTTAGCTGTGAACTGATGAAGGCAGGATTCAAACTTACGCAATCCAGCTCCAGACGCCCAACCTTCTTCTTTGCCAAGCTGTTCTGTCTGCACCTGCACTCAGTGTTGTAGTAAAACAGGCCTCAGGAAAGCACAGTAGGCATTCTTCCCACCACATAGCAGGGTGGTCCTTGGAAATAAATCTGTGGGGATGAGCAAGGAAAGATGCCATGGAAGGTGGGTCACTCTGTGCGGGGAGGCAGGAAGCAGCATCCTCAGGGCAGATGGAGGACTAAAAGCATCCCTGCCCAGGGGTCTCAGCAGCCCAGAAGGCCACTAAGAAGAGGCCTGGCCCCTCATTCCACAATCCATTGTTGGCCAAACCTGCTCAGGGAAAAGTGAGTTGGGTGAGCAACATGGCCAAACGTCTGGGAAGGGCCCCCCTTTTGCAAATCCCACAGAAGCAAGTTTTACTGGATTTGGAAAGGCTAAGTCCATCCTGGGCCTCAGCCCAGGGGCAGGCGGGGTTAGGAGGGGTCAGCCCGCTGCACTGTCAGTGTCAGCTGTGTGCTCTGAAGCTACAAGGCCAGCATCATTTAGAGCAACTGAGCTTGACCACCGCATCTACGTTACTTACCTTCCATCTGGTGGTGGTTCCCTTTTTTGAAGCTGGACTGTGTTGTGGCTGGCCTTCCAGTTTATTCCATTCTCGTTGCTGAGCTGCTCAGGCTCTTGCTCAGCAGTGTACTTTAGAGAACAAAGAGAGTCGAGAACTGTAGGAAGGTCTTCTCTTTATCAGTTGAAACATGCTTGCATCACTTTCCCTAAAGTGGAAGAAAGGGGTACAGATGTTAGATTTGCACTTTCCTGACTTTATCTTTTCCCCCCCGGTTTCTTCACCAAGAATCATAGGGCATGCATGAGCATAGCCTGAGTAGCCACTTGTCCAGGATGCTCAGATGGATAGGGATGCTGGAGGTCACCTGAATCACATGGGACTTTGAGCCAGATAAACCTCCAGGGCTGCTGCAAATGGTAAGACCCCATGCCTCCTACAGCGTCATCTGAAGTGGGTAAGTTGGGATGAGCATCCCTCTTGGGGTGAGGAGTTGGTCAATAATAATACTTCAGTCCTATAACTGTACATGTAACTCATTGATTCCCTACAATAATCGTATGTGGTAGGTACTAGTATTATTCCTATTATAGAGAGGAGGAAGCTGAGTCACAGAGAGATTGAGAGACTGATCCAAGGATACACAGGTAGTTTATAGCAGAGCTGGGATCTGAGCCCAGGCAGATAGACTCCAGTGTCTGTGTTCTTAAACTCCAACCAGTATAGCCTCTCTAAGGTGGCCCAAAGCAGTGAAGTGACCTGCCCACAAGATACGGAGTCATGGCTTAGAATCCAGCCTGTGATCTCAACAAGAAACCACACTGGGTTTAGAGCTCAGAGCCAACTGGTCTGGTCCACACTCTGCAGTGGATGGTGATCGCCCTTCCCAGCCTTCCCCTGCCCCGTGACGCACCCTTCCCATGCCCGCCAAAGCCTGTGCTGTCTCTTGCTTCCAGACCTTTGAGCCCTCCTGTCCTTCAGCTTGGTACACACACCACTCCCCTTGCCTGGATCACCCCTACTCACCATTCCAGACTGAACTGAGACCTCCTCGCCACCTTGGCCTTCCAAATCTGACGTTTGTGCCCCTCCTGCCTGCACACTTGTCAAACCCAACTTCCCCGTCTGACGTCTTCCAGACCGTCAGCTCCAAGAGGGAAGAGATGAGCTCTGTACTTGACATGTCACAGCATCTCAATAAATTTTTAGTGGCACAAATTTAAGGGGTGGGAGGACTTGCAGCTGCCCCAGTATGCCCCAGGCAGAGGATTCATCAGCACTTCTTCTAGTTCCTCTAGGGTACCATGCTCTCCCTCACCACTGGGCCTTTATACATACTTTTCCCACATCTTAAACATTTTCGAATGTCCTCCTTTTTAATCTAGTCTTCTGTCCCCTAACCTGGTCAGGTTGCCTTGTTTTAAGCTCTCATGGCCCCCTGCAGTTTTCCTTTAGAGAAGTAGTTCCCAAAGTGTGATCCCTGGACTCCCTCCCGGGAGGTCCCTTAGGCCTTTTCAGGGAGTTTGTGAGATCAAAACTGTTATTATAAATATTTAATCATGAAGAAAATACACAGTACACTTCAAGTGAATACAATATTATATGTCAGTTTTATTTCAATTAAAAAAAGAATACACAAAGCAAATCATAGTAGGTGCTTAATAAATATTCAAAAATTAAGTAAACCAAAGCCCTCCTGATGGGTATGAGTGTCACTGTACATTCCTGAGACAAACCCCCTCCCTCACCAAGAACCTACACACACACAGACGCTAAATTCTGCCCTTGGGAAGGGGCTGTGGAAGATGCCTCCAGGGGTAGATGAGGGAGGAGGAGGAATGAAGGCAACTTATCCCCTGAAACTGGGCACCCATGGGGCAAAATCTTTGGGGCTCAGCATGGTGGTGTCAATGTGCAACTTCCCACTTGGCTCTGCATTTCTCCAGTTTCTTGCAGATGCATCTGGAACACATTAGAAAGGGGTCAGACTGGTTTGGAAAATGTTTGGGTAACTCTGGACATGGGAGGTGGAGCTGGAAACCTGTGGGAAAGAACATGACCCCCAGACAGAGTTCACAGTTATGGCTGGAGAGCTGCATGCCCACCGGTCCAGGACAGGCCCTCTGGGCCTCCGCAGCTCAGGCCCTACCTATCTGGCTCCACCTTCATCCCTCAGAGACCCCTTTTCAGACTTGCTTTGGTAAGGAGACATCCCTGTGTGCCTCGTCCTTTCCCCATTTTCCTTCTCCTGACCCAGACCACAAACTTAACACAACCCAGGCCCTGCTCCATGAATAATAATGGTCATGACAGTAATCAGAACCCATAAATCATTTCCCTTCTCTTGAGCTCACATGTCCCAGGTGAAGAGCTTCACACACATTCTCCCATTTTATCCTTTGAATAAATCCTCAAATCATATGTATTCCTGTTCCCACTTCACAGACAGGGAAACTGAGAGGCAGGAAGATAACCCAACTCTCTCAGGGTTGTAAGGTTGAAACTCAAATCCAGGGTTGTCTAGCACCAAAATTTGTTTCACACCCTCACAGCACACGCATATCCCAGGTAAGATGAAAGAATCCGTCTGGAAGCTACTTCCTTTTCCCCCAAATCAAGGAGATGCAGCAGCTAAGAGAAGGCGCTAGAAAGCAGAGGAAAACTTATTATCCGTGACACCTGGGTACCTGTAACAAGAAGCTCCTGTTTCAAATTCAACCGCCCCTGCCCTCAGCTGTCGCTCCCAGATTAAATTTCTAACGCCGTCTTCACGCGAGAGTTGACCGCGGGAGAGCAGCTACCGCGGGCTCAGCACGCGCTTCCTCCGTCCACCCGGCCCTCGGAAGACGGGAACACTTCGCCTTAGGGAGAAAGTAGTCGTCGAAAAAACAGCTGAAATCTTTCGCTTGGACCAGCCCTGAGAAGGCCCGGGCTCATGTTGGACGTGGGGCGTGCGGTGGAGCCCAGGCAGGGCTCCGCAGAGCAGAGCGGGGACAGAGCGGGGGCCGGCCGGGCCCTTCCCTGCTCGCGCCCCGCGGTCACAGGACAGCACGGCCCGAGGCCCGAGCTGGTGGCGGTGCTCAAAAGGGGACGAGGGAAGCCTGCCGTCAACTTCACCGACACTTTTTCTCGGTCTGGACCTGCGTTGTCCCATACGGCAGCCACGAGCCACCTGTGACCCGGACTGCGGCTGGTCTGAATCCGGATGGCCTGCGTGAAATACACGCTAGATCTCCCGACTTAGCACAAGAAAAATGTGAGTGATCTCGGCAGCGATGTTTACGTTGCTTGATATTACATGTTGAAATGATAAATATTTCTGATATATTGGGTTAAACATATTAACAGAGTTAATTGCACCTCTTTTTACTGCTTCTAATGGACTCGGAGACAATTTTAAATTACACAGGGGGTGGGCATAATATTTCTATTTGACAGCACCGCCCTGGTGTTCCTTTCTCCCCGCTCAAGCCCCACGGGTTCAGTCACTAGCAGCACTTCCGCCCTGTGAGGTCTGCCCCCGCCTTGCTCCAGAGCTCGGCAGGGCTCCCCTTGAAAGGTCACGTCAAGCCTAAGCCGCTCTCCCCAGACCTTCCGGGCCACCCTGATTGATTCACTGGCCCTGACCTGACCTCAGCCAGTGACCCCGGAAGCTGTCTCCATCCTCCTTTCATCCCCTCCGCCTTCCCAGGCACACTGCCCTGCCCCGGCCCCAGGTAGAGAACTAACTCTTCTGCCCCCGCTCCTCATGGTCTTATACTTCTGAAGTTTGCAGGTAATTGCTCTTTCCCTCCTCTTTAATGAGCTCCTGGCTCCTGGGGTGCGGGGAACATAGGCCCGGGCTTGCCCTCCATCTAGAGTCAGTTGCTGCCCGACCTCCCCGATCGCACATGCCCAGCAGGTGTGTGCCCATCAAACCCAGCCTCTGGCCCCGGGCTGCACACTTGTTGGGCACTGACACCGGGGCAGAGCAACAATGACTGCTCTCCCCTCCCTGGGAGCTCTTCTCCCTGACCACCCTTCCTCTAAGAACTCGGGCTTTGCCTCCTGCAGAAGCCCTCTCCCTCCACCCCCAGGCTTTCCTTCCTTCAGCTCAACCAAGCATGAGGTCTTCTCTTAGAACTCCGAAAGCACTTACTGCTGGGGCAGAAAGAAGTCCCCGCGTGCTCTGCAGTCCTTTGATAATCACTAAGCACATTCACCTGTAGCGTTTAATCCCCGCAGCAATTCCACGTGGTGGCAATCAGGCCCATTTCACAAATGAAGAAACAGACTCAGAGTGAAAGAGGAACTTGCTCAGTATCCTGTGGAGCCAGGCTCTGAAGCCGAGAAGTCGATATTGCAGCCTCTACGCTCCATAGTGTTGCAGGAAGAGCAAAGATGGACCAAGGTTTGAATCCCAGCTTTATCATTTTCAACGGCTGTGACTGCAAGCTCCTTTTTTTTTTTTAAAGCTAATCCCAAACTCCCAATCTATCCCTCCCCTCATCCTTTCCCCCATGGTAACCATACATAAGTTTGTTTTCTATGTCTGTGAGTCTGTTTCTGTTTTGTAAATAAGTTCATTTGGGTCATTTTTTTAAGATTCCATATATGAGTGATATGTGGTATTTGTCTTTCTCTTTCTGGCTTACTTCACTTAATATGATAATCTCTAGATACACCCAATGTTGCTGCAAGTAGCATTTTTCACATGGCTGAATAGTGTTCCATTGTGTATGTGTGTATATGCCACATTTTCTTTATCCATTCATCTGTCAACAAGACATCTAGGTTGCTTCCATGTCTTGGCTATTGTAAATAGTGCTGCTGTGAACATTGGGGTGCATGTATGTTTTTGAATTAAGAGTTTTCTCCAAATATATGCCCAGGAGTGGGATTGCTGGATCATATGGTAACTCTAGGTTCTTAAGGAGAACTTCTATACTGTTTTCCATAGTGGCAGCACCAATTTATGTTCCCACCAACAGTGTAGGAGGGTTCCCTTTCCTCCACGCCCTTTCCAGCATTTATCATTTGTAGATATTTTTAATGATGGCCATTCTGACCCTCATTGTAGTTTTGATTTGCTTTTCTCTGATAATTAATGATGTTGAGCATCTTTTCATGTGCTTGTTGGCCATCTGGATGTTGTCTTTGGAGAAATGTTTGTTTAGATCTTCTGCCCATTTTTTGATTGGATTGTTTTTTTTGTTACTGAGTTGTATGTGCTGTTTGTATATTTTGGAAATTAAGCCATTAATGGTCACATCATTTTCAAATATTTTCTCACTGTAGGTTCTTCTTTTATTTATGGTTTCCTTTGCTATGCAAAAGCTTGTAAGTTTGAGGTCCATGCAAGCTTCTTAAACCCACTGTGCCTCAGTTTCCTCATTTGTAAAATGGCAGTGATCATCTCAGAGGTATCTTGAGGATTAAGTTGGTGCAGGGTTTGCATTTAAAGCAGTGCCTATGGGTACCATAAAGTAAGTGCTCAATAAATGGTAGCTGTTGATATGAATACCCAATCTTGCTCTCCACTAGGCTGTGAGCTCCTGGAGTATGAGAGATGTGTCCTGGACCATTCCCATCCTCGTGACCCTACTCTCCAGTGATGGTTTTGAAAGTACTGTGATGATGACAGAGAGATCCAGGTGAATGCAGGTAAGTTGAACTAAATGTTTCTATGCCCCCCAAATTCATATTTTGAAGTCCTAACCCTGAATCTGTTGGTATTTGAGAGCTACAGCTGAGGGCAGGGGAGGCTGAATTTGAAACGGGAGCTGGTTGTTACCAGTGACCAAGTGCCATGGTTAAGTTGTGCAAGTCTTCTCTTCGCTGCTTTTACATCTCCTTGATTTGGGAGAAAAGGAATAGGCTTCTAGATGGATGCTTTTACGTTCCTGGGATATTGGTGTGCTGTGGAGGATATGAAACAAAGTTTGGTGCTGGGGAAAAAAGTAGGAGAAATGTTCTACTGGATTTGACGCTGGCTGAAATTAGACATTTGTTTTCAGGAAATGGAATATTATTAGTATGTTTAACTGCAATTTGTGATTCTAACTTGTGGCTAACAAAAGAAATAATGGGACGGTTTGAAAAGCCCAGGTTTATGAAACAGATAAGCAAAAGGGGAAGCAAATACCAGTACTTACTGAGTAGTTCCAAGTAACCTGTTCTTCACATGCAATACCATATTAACTCTTAAATCCTACGAAATAATGTTATCCCTAGTTCCATTGATAAGGAGACTAAGACTGAGAGGTTTTGTAAGTGACTCAGATCACTCAGGAGTAGCTGTGCAGCCAGGATTCAAACCCAAGTCTGTTGGCTCCAGCGTCCACGTTCCTTCTCCCCCAGGTTGCAACGTGACTAATGCGTGGCTTAGTCAGGCCAGCTTTCTTACAGAGGATAAAATAGCCCATTCAGTTTGCTTACATTAATAGATCATCAGCAAACTTTTCCCCATGGAATAGGAGGAAAACACCTCCCTCATTTAACATCACCTCGAAAACGTCAGTAAATCACAAATAGTCTCATACATTTGTACATACTATATTCCTAAAAATGTATATGGAAGTTAAGTGGGGGAAAAGTCCAAAAAGAATGAATGTGTGTTAATTAAGAATTCTAAAAGAAGGCTAAAAAATTTTTAAATGAATATTTTAAGGTTGTAAGTGGTTTATGACATCTCGAATCACTGCAGGACATGAACCTGATTACAGTATACCAAACCTGATAAAACACTGGGTCATAAAAAGGAAAATTTATTTCTCTGAAATGATTTGGTGGTGTTGCAAATCAGAGTTAATTCGTGTGGTTTGAAGTTGCATTTGGGAGATGGAAAACACTAGTGTTGGGAAGACAGACCTGTTGGTAGTTTGATGGGGGTAGTTTGTTTTTTCTTGATTTTTTAAATTTTAAATTGAAGTATAGTTGATTCAAAATGTTGTGTTGTTTCTGGTGTAAAGCAAAGTGATATATATATATATATATATATATATATATATATATATATATATATATATATATATATATATATATATATATATTATATTCATTCCTTTTCATGTTCTTTTCCATGATAGTTATTACAGGATATTGAATATACTTCCCTGTGCTATACAGTAGGACCTTGTTGTTTATCTATTTTGTATATAAGCTTATCCCAAGCTCCTGCTTTATCAACCCCTCACCTGCTTTCCCCTTTGGTAACCATAAGTTTATTTTCTATGTCTGTGAGTCTGTTCTCGTTTTATAAATAAGTTCATTTGTATATTTTAGATTCCATGTATAAGTGATACCATATGGTTTTTGTCTATCTGGCTTACTTAGTATGATAATCTCCAGGTCCATCCATGTTGCTGCCAATGGCATTGTCTTTCTCTTTATGGCTAAGTAATATTCCATTATACATAATATCCATCTAATATAATAATATACATAATATATAATATATAATGAGATATGATATATTTATGTCACATCTTTATCCATTTATCTCTTGATGGACATTTAAGTTGCTTCTGTTTCTTGGCTATTGTAAATAGTGCTGCTATGAACGTTGGGGTGCATGTATCTTTTTGAATTAGTTTTGTCTGAATATATGCCAGATAGGAGTGGGATTGCTGGATCATATGGTAACTCTAGTTTTTTTAAGGGACCCCCATAACTGTTTTCCATAGTGGCTGCACTAATTTATGTTCCCACGAACAGTGTAGGTAGGAGGGGTTTCCCTTTTCTCCACTCCCCCTGTGATATTTATCATTTGTCGACTTTATAGCAGTGGCCATTCTGACCCTGTGAGGTGATACCTCATTGTAGTTTTGATTTGCATTTCTCTGATAATCAATGATGTTGAGTGTTTTTTTTTGTCATGCTCCCACTGGCCATTTGTATGTCGTCTTTGGAGAAATGTTTGTTTAGGTTGTCTGCCGAGTTTTTCATGGGATTGTTTGTTTTTCTGTTATTGAGTTGCATGTGCTGTTTGTGTATTTTGGAAATTAAGCCCTTGTCAGTCACCTTATTTGCAGACATTTTCTCATAGTCAGTCTTTTCGTTTTGTTTATAGTTTCTTTTAAGCTATTTTGAGTTTATTTTTGTGTATGGTGTGAGGGAGTGTTCTAACATCACTGATTTACATGCAGCTGTCCAGCTTTCCCAGCACCACTTGCCTAAGAGACTGTCTTTTCCCTGTTGTATATCTTGCCTCCTTTGTCAAAGATTAATTGACCATAGGTGTATGGGTTGTATTTCTGCGCTCTCTGAGCTGTTCCACTGATGCACATGGCTGTTTTTGTGCCTATACCATGCTGTATTGATTACTTACTGTAGCTGTGTAGTATTGTCTGAAGTCTCGGGGTTATTCCTCCAGCTTAGTTATTTTTTCCTCAGTATTGCTTTGACAATTCTGCGTCTTCTGTGGTTCCATTTAAATTGTAAGATTATTTGTTCTAGTCCTGTGAAACATGTCCTGGGTAATTTGATAGGGATCACATTAAATATACAGATTGCTTTAGGTACTATGGCCATTATGACAATATTAATTATTCTAGTCAGAGAAACATGGAATATCTTTCCAGTTCCCTAAATCACCTTTAATTTCCTTCATCAGGGTTTTATAGTTCTCAGCGTCTTAAGTCTTTCACTTCCTTGGTCAGGTATATTCCTGAGTACTTTTTTTTTATGTGATTTTAAAAGGTTTTTTTTTTTTTTTTTGCTTTCCCTTCCTGATATTTCATTATTAGTGTAAAGAAATGCAACTGATTTCTGTTAATCTGGTATCCTGCTAACTTGCTAAATTCGTTTATCAGCTCTGGTAGGTTTTGTGTGGAGTCTTCGGTGTTTTCTATTTATACTATTATGTCATCTTCATAGAGTGACAATTTTACCTCTACCCGTCCAATCTGGATCCCTTTTATTTCTTCTCTGATTTCTGTAGCTAGGACTTCCAATACTATGTTAAATAGAAGTGGTGAGAGTGTTCATCCTTGTCTTGTTCCAGATGTTAGTGGAATGGCTTTCAACTTTTTGCCATTAAGTATTACGTTGGCTGTAGGTTTGTCATAAATGGCTTTTATTAGGTTGAGATATGTTGCCTCTATACACACTTTGGTAAGAGTTTTTATCATGAATAGATGTTGAATTTTATCAAATGCTTTTTCTCCATCTATTGATATGATCATTTTTTTTCCTCTTTCCTTTCTTCAGTTAATGTGGTGTATCACATTGATTTGCACATGTTGAACCATCCTTGTGGCTCTGGGATGAATCCAGCTTGATCAAGTCGTATGGTTTTTGTGTGTGTGTTGTTGGTTTCACTTTGCAAATACTTTCTTGTGAACTTTTGCATCTATATTCATCAAAGATATTGGCCTGTAATTTTCTTTTTGATAGTGTCTTTGTCTTGTTTTGGTATCAGGGTAATGGTGGCTTCATAGAATGTGTTTAGGAGTGTTCCATCCTCTTCAGTCTTTTGGAGGAGTTTGAGATGGATTGGTGCGAGTGCCTCTTCATGTATTTGGTAGAATTCCCTAGTGATGCCATCTGGCCCTGGACTTTCCTTTGCAGGGAGTTTATTGTTGTTATTATTATTACAGATTCCATTTCAATTCTAGCAATTAGTCTGTTCAAATTGTCTTCTTTTTAAAATTATCTTATTCTATTTATTGAAGTATAACTGATTTACAATGCTATGTTAATATCTCAACAGCAAAGTGATTCAGGTGTATATATATATATATATATATTCATTTTCATATTTTTACCTTGAGTTACTTTTCTTGTTGACAAATTTGTAGCAGATAAAGTAAAGTCTTATCTGACCTCCAGTGAGCCTAGGCTCAACAGAAGTGTTACACTTAACACTGATGGCTCTAAAGACATGTTTATATTGATTAAAACAACAGGCTTAAGCTAGCTTCAGTACCAATACCAGTACTGAATATTTTTAGATAATGTGAACCTGAAACTCATTTTGGCCAGTTTCCTTTAATATTTTTGAGTATTTATATAAGCACTTAATTTCCTTTAAGCCAACTAAATTAGAGCTCTCTCACCATTTAATTTTGTCAGTATCATAATTTATGACATACAAACATACAAAACAGAGACCTTCTTTTATTTCAAAATTTTAGCAATGAAACAGATACAACAAAGTAAAATCCATTAGCTACAAAAGAGATTGGATTTAAATTGGGTTTTTACCAGATAGAGCAAGTCACAGTTGCCCATCTAAATGGCTAAACCTTTTTACCAGTATTTAAGAAAAAGAGACAAAATATTAATTTGTCTTTAACAAGTTAAGTTTAAAATTAATTATTCCTCCTTTCTTGAGACTTGCATTTTTTAAAAAAGGTGGTGAGATCAGAGTTCCTGGAGTAGTTCCTGGAGGTAGAATATTTGTATCTCAAAGGCATAGGAAAGCAAGTTTCTCCTAGAAAGACTTTGTTGCCTTAAGGCCAGAAAAAAATCTTTTCTCGAAACTTGACTCTTAAGATAGTAGGGGAGGTTTGGTGAGTGGTAAAACGATTGGTGGGGTTTGTATTATTTCTAGAGCCACACTTCTGGTCCTATAAAGACTAGATTTGTAAAACAAAGAGTTTTGTTTTTCCTCAGGGTGGGAGGGAGACCTCCTCTGGCTTGAAAATGAGGCAGGCTTCCAA